ACTAAGTTTATCAAATCTAGAACTGACTCGAATTTTGACGTTTGTCACATGTTCCACCTGTGTTGTATGGTTTCCATATAACAGCTGTTGGTGATACGTTTATCAGCAACAATACACTGATAAATTTGGATGAACCTAACAAGCACAACGAAGCCATGGCGGGCCCGGAGTCTGGAAAATGGAATGAGGTAATGGACACGAGATTCAATCCATGTATGACAATCAAGTTTGGAACTTGGTTGACAATGTGCTAGGTCGCAAGACAGTCAGTTGCAAGTGGTTCTTCAAGAAGAAGACCGACATGAATGGCAAAGTGCATATATTCAAGGCACAATTCATTGCGAAGAGATTTACTTAAACCCCCAGGTTTGACTATGATGAGACCTTATCACCAGTGATCAAGATCAAGTTTATTAGGGTTATGTTGGCCACTGCTGCATTACATGATTATGAAATTTGCTAGATGGATGTCAAAACCGCTTTCCTTATTGGGAAGTTGGCTGAACATGTTTACATGTGTCAGCCAGAAGTTTTCGTGGATACCAAATACCCCAATAGAATGTTCAAGCTTGAGAAATTCATTTATGGATTGAAACAAGAGTCTCGTAGATGGAAACTTTGTTTCAAAGAGAAAGTCAAAGAGTTTGGATTTTCGAGAAGCAAGGATGAGTCCTATGTGTATGTCAGTTCTAGTAAGAATATAGTTAGCTTTCTAGTTTTGTATGTTGATGACATATTGCTCATAGGAAACGACATCCCGAACTTGCAGGAGATTAAGTCCTGGCTTTGGAAGTGTTTCTCTATGAAGGATCTAGGAGAAGCTGCTTATATTCTAGGGATAAGAATATTGAGAAACAGAAGTAAGAGACTAATAGGACTTAGTCAAATTACTTACTTGTACAAGGTGTTGAAGCGTTTTATCATGGAGAATTCCAAGAAAGGGGATTTGTCAATCCAAAGCAATACCAAGCTGAGTAAGACTCAAAGTCCGAGTACTGATGTTGAGATTGAGAAAATGAGTTGAGTTCCATATGCTTCCGCTGTTGGCTCGATTATGTACGCTATTGTTGGATTAGTGTCTAATCTCGTAACTGTATTTGGTATGTACTTGACCCGGTTGTGCATGGTCCTTCTGGGTTGCCTTCACCAAAGCAACTGGATAGGATGATTTGTGAAGAGAGAGGTTATTATGGTTTATTAATATATTATATGAATAATATATTAAAAGATAAATCATATAGTTTAATTAATATTAGACAAGAATTAAATAATTTAATTTTTTGGCTAAAAGATATTAATTAAATAAAGGTGACTAGAACTGTCAATTGTTTCATAGTTGATTTTGGGCTGAGAATCCTTATGGATTAGGGCATGGACGAAATTAAGAGGAGTCCATCTTAATTTTGGCCATGGAGGCCTTATTCCAGAAGGTTCTTAAGTTACTTAGGGCCCAAGTCATCCAATTACGGTTTTGACTGAAACCCTAGAAGCTCAAGTATATAAGGACCCCTAGGGATAGCAAAATTGGCCACTTGATCCCCTGGAAGCTTGAGGCCAACTTTTACCTCTCATCCTCTTTCCTCTACATCATTCTCTTGTTTGTGGTGTTTGTGAGCCATTAGAGGTGTTACACTTGTGACATTAATCTTCTTGAAGATCAAATGATTCTTGCAACCATTAAAAGGTATCATCTAAACTAGTTTGTTATAATTTTCGATTTTAATGTATGCTAGATTAGGGTTTTTAAGTCTTGGATGAATTGCATGTACAATAGAGAAGCCTAGTTCCAAGATTTAGGGTTTTGTATGAGCACATAGGAATGTTCTTTTGTATAAAACCCATCAGCTATGACATGTACTCGCCCTGATGTGGCTTTTACGTTGAGCATGGTAAGTCAATATCAAGGGAACCCGGGTAGAGCTCATTGGACTGCAGTGAAGAACATTCGTAAGTACCTGTTAAGGACTAAGGACTGGGTCCTTACCCTTGGTAGGAGTGATAACTTGATAGTGACAGGGTATAGTGAAGTCAACTTTCAAACCGACAGAGATAAATTCCGCTCTCAGTCGGACTGGGTATTTAACCTAAATGGAGGAGCAATCACTTGGAAAAGTTCCAAGCAGGAGACCATGGCTAATTCAACATGTGAATCAGAGTACATAGAAATGAGTGAAGCGTTGAAGGAGGCAACATGGTTAAATAACTTCATTGGAGACCTTGGAGTTGTACCAGCCATAAAGGAGCCTATGGAGATTTTCTGTGAAAACGAAGGAGCGGTTGCCTTAACCAAGGAATCAATGGAACATGGTAGATCCAGACACATGGACAAAAATACCACTTCATTAGACATCGGGTAGAAGAGGGACTCCTTGTAGTAAAGAGGGTATCGTCAGAAGAGAACCCAGCATATCCCCTCATAAATGGTTAGAGCAGTGTTAAACACTTACAGGATGCGAGGAGCATTGGTCTAAAGGATGATATTAGTTTTAGTGATTAGATAGTTGTTTAGAAACTTGTAATATATAAAATGTAATTGACATTTGATGATTAAATAAATGAGTTTTATTTAAAATTTAAAGTTTACTATCTTGTGTCAATTGTTTATTATTGTTTCACTTTTGCATGTTTTACTTCTAGAATAATTAGATTGTTCAAATTATCAACAACCAATCATACTTTGGGAGTAAGTTACCGTCATGAATTGTTTTGTAGATTGTCTAAGTGTTTATACATAGCAAAGGTTTGCTGCAAAATTCATTAGTGCTCTTGAAATAATATTTGAGTATTGGATTAAACCCACACTCATTAATCACTTCAGGGAAATTATCACGAGTGATTGTGAGATGATAATATCATATAATCTTTAAACCGAGATATATGAGTTGTTGTTTGCGAGTTGGTTGTGCATTGATAATGTGTAAACGCATCAGTAACTTGATGTTATAAAATGTGTTGTCGTGTACACTACTAGAAAATAGACCTTTAATGATGCGCTTTTTACGGCACGCGCTGATTAACGATACGCAATAAGATGTGCCCTTAAAATAGTGTTATCTCTCCAAAAAATTTAAGGATTTACGTCACGCATTATTGCGTGCCCTTAATTTAGTGTCTCAAGAAAAAAAATTAGAAACACGGAGGGCACTTTATCTTAAACGCGCGTCGTCTGTACCTGTCGCTTTATATTTTAATGAAACGCGCTTTTAGTAGACAAGGGGGGAAACAAAATCCCCAAAATTTTGAAAACCCGCCTCGTTTTTTCTATCTTCTATCTATCTTTCATCCTTGCAATCCACTCTCCCCTCTCTGATAATCTCTCCTCTAGATCTCCCTTCATTCTCTACCTCCAGTCTCTCTGTAAACCCTAAGCCATCGCCACCTCCCTTCTCTCTAGCACGTGCTAGGGTTTTATTTTCTTTCAAGCTTCCACTTCTCTCGTTTTCTCTAAACCCAGTACGTGCGAGGGTTTGAATAACTGAGCGAATTCAAACAATCAATTTTCCATTTCAACTTCTTTCAACTCTAGATCATCGGGTATATTTTCAGATTCCTTTTCCGGTTTTGTTCACTTTTGAAATTGGAATGGGACCCGTTCTTTTCTACTTCAATACTCTCTATCTCAACCGACTTTTCTTCTTCCACTTCGTCTTCTTCTAATTCTTCTAACAATGGAGGTTCCTGCTCAGGGGTAACCTCGGCAATATGCAATTTAAAAACCCCAAATAAGTCGAATTTTTAGGTATACGGTTCTTTATCTGGAAGCACAAGGCCATCTACAATCGATTAAGCTAATCTGAGCTCACAGGTACATGTGAGCTTTATATCTTCCCTCCTTATCTTTCAACCGCATTAACGATCATGGCAATTCCCACCACACTATCGACACTACCTTCTCCTTCTTCATGTCTCTCTTCAAAATCACTTCAACCCATTCATCTTACTTGCCCTAAAACCACAATTTCACTTTCAAAATCCAATTTTACCCCCTTTTCAATTCATCATTCAAATCCAATCAATCTCGCCTCATCAAGAAAACCCATCAGCTTCATCTGCAGTAGTTCATCCATTGTGTCGACAAGCACTACCAATTACGAGGTAACTACCAACAATATACGAATTTGAAGTGTTCATATTCATTTTTGTAAATCCCCATTTGGGTAAGCACGGTTTTCTCGGTTATTAGGGTTTAGTTTTATGCAGATTTTCCTTTCCCAGTAATCTGAAACCATGTTTGCTTCTTCAATGGCTGTTAAAATTTTCTAAAATAAAAGTTTACGCACCAAAATTTGGTGGAAAAAACTTGGATTGCACAAGTATGAAACCATATATGCTTCTTCAATGGTCACTTTCTAATACATTTGACAGTTTTCAGATGACTCACAAGAGGTAGAGCTGAGATTATTTCTTGGAGATGAAAGCATTCAGAGCTCGAAGGATGTCATTGTTGACACCCTTGAACACAGAAGAGCTACTGGAAACTTTTACTAAGCAAACAGTTGATTCATGTGAGTGATTTCACCAATCTTTATGAACAAAATGAGACTTTTTGTGTTAATTTAACAAGTAATAATTAATAAATTCTAGTGGTGATTGCAGAAGTTGGGAGTAAAGTAGCTGCAGTTGAACAAATTCAAGAGACCCCTCTTGTGATCAAATCAACTTCTTGTGAGATTTCCTTTATACCCTTTAACTTAAAATTCTCAATGTCACTATACTTACTAAATAGCTAGATCACTAAATGACATATAAATCCTTAATCAGGTTTAGATGTTATAATGGCATGCATAGATTACAGAAACTTTCCCATTCCAGCAAACTGCAGGTGTTAGTCTTTTGTTATTTTTTCAATTTAGTTTTTTTTATAAAAAAATAATATATAAGTGTGTTGATGTTAACTTACAGTTAAGAGGTGTCTTCTCCTTTACTAGAGAACAAAACCACAATGACACCATTATTAATATCTTCGGTTCGATAAAATCCATAACTGAGTAAAACAAAAAATGGGAGGTTGCTGTTGTTGCTTTTCTAAAGGAGTAGAACTCAACACTTCACCCCGATTCTATCATGTTAGTATACTGTATGGGAATGTGAAATTACCATCTTACGCTTCATCTTATCCGAATGTTAGTTTTTTTTCTTGATTGGTCTCCAAAAGTTTATTTTCTTCCAATATTGGTCATGATTTGAGGTTCTTATAACGTTTTTGGTCACTCTTCCAAAGAAAAATTGAGCTGATTTTAGAAAATTATTTTATTACCACAACTTGTAATGTTGATGATAGCAAACGTCAAGCTTATTTTCTTCCAAATTTGGACATTTTTTCTACATTTTAGCTCCTATTCTATAAATTGTATTCGTGGTTTTGTTTTTTTCTTTCTCTAGTCTTTGTGGCAGATTCTTTGGTTAAACCCTATGGCACCAATGGAATTTACTAAAAACAATCTTTCCTTAAAGAAACACCATGTAGAATTTGTTCAATATAGGGTTAGTGTTGTGGCTTCTGAACTTCTTTCTCAGGTATGCTTATTGTAGTTTGACTTTCATTGACAATCTTGAAAGACAATAATTTGTGTAACTATAAATCTACAATTATAGCTGCAAGATTAGAATAATAGAAGGCAGTTTGCACACCCTAGTTACTTCCATGCTGATGGTGTCAATGATCACTTCATTTCTCAGGTAATAATTATTTACTTAATTCACATATTTTTTTTATAAGTTTGATTTTGTGATGATTAAAAAGAATCCATCTATTTACTTAATTCACAGGCGTTGATTGAAAACACAAGGGCATATGACATACTGAAACAAGCTCCTTTCTTGGTGCCATTTACAAGTAGAGTTAAATTATTCACAGTGAGTTTATAACTTATAAATTATAATCTATTCATAGCCATACTATTTTTTTACTAATTACATTTTTATCAAACTATATAGTCACAACTTACTACAATTAAGGAAAGGCCAGGGTCTCATTCTCTTTTAAACAGAAGCACTTTTAAAAGGCACTTTCTTCGGTTAGCAATTTCCCATGATTTTCTTTCAGAACATTGAGCGCCTAAAGAAGTACTTTGATATATGTGGTGGTCCAGCAACCTTTATTCAGATGCTTCTTTTATATTTCTTTTTAGATTGAATGCTTTGTGTAATTTCCACATGGTACACCTTAAGTTGTCCCCTAACTTCCATTTTCATAAGTTTTCTAGGTTTAAAAAAGATTAAGAAAAGAGGAAGTCATGGATCCTAAAAATGGCCAACTCAGTAAAAACAAACCCACTTAGTAGGAAAATGTCCTAGCTTTGGTGAGTTTTTTTTTGTCCCAGCTTCTGGGTACATGGAATTTTTTATTTTCAGAAATTAATTAATCAGAATGACTAAGTCGATATTACCTGCTTCATGATCAGGTGCCTCTCTTGATCTTGTCTATTTGTTCTATCAATCAATCTCAGGCTATCAATCTTTTGGGTATGATGCAATTAGTCAACTTTGTTCATGTTTGGGATCTGTGTGTCTATGTGTATAATGTCTGAGTGCTTTTATGTAGTTGGCTAAAATGAGACTTTTTAGTTTTTCAATCCACAAATCTGTCTGATGCAATGAACTACACTGACAAGCAACTGACAGCAGCTGTTGTGTCTAAAGGGTTAAGACCTAGTCTTGCAGGGATTGAATCAGGAGCACCACCAAGATTACTATCTTTGGTACAAAGATGTTAGGATGCTGACATTCACAATAGGCCTTCATTTGATGATATCATCTCCAAACTTGATCTCAACATGGTTTTTCCCTGTTGCCTATAAAAGGCCTCTAAAATATTCTCCTATTCTTATATATTTGCCTGGTAATTTGTGTTTGGTTGTAAAATTACACAAATTACCATTTTACCCCTGCAAAATATGCTTATATTTACTTCCTAGTTGGATGTGATACTTTGTGTAGGGTTGGAAGGAACTGGAACTGGCCTTGTTGTACATGAGAAAGCTCTTGGAAAGTGAGTTGAATTTGGCTAAGTCATTATTGAGTGAGATAGGCCAATGTACAACTGCTTATCCATATAATCAGCTGTTTGGAGCATGAGTCTTAAAGAATTATATAAGGCAAGATGCAACTTTACTTAGTTGGAATTTGATGTACATAGTAGATTAGATGCAAATTTATATATTGTAAGAAATAGAATTGTATGACATTAAATTTATGCAATCGATTCTATTTTTTGTATATGATATTTTATTATCTATTATGAAACATTAAATATAAATTTAATTTTAAAATAAGTAAATCTATAAATAATATTTTTTTTAAACATTTAAAATTACGATACGCAAAAATATGTGTCATCTTCATTTATGACATGGCCTTTCTTGACAGGGGCTTTCTTGATACGCATTGCGTGTCATTAACACGCGCGTCGTAAGATTACGACACGCGAATGCGTGTCGTCTTCCTTTATGACAGGGCCTTCCTTGATACACATTGCGTGTCATAACCGCACGTCGTAAATGCGTGTCATAAATGCGCGTCGTAAATGCGCGTCATCTATAGATGACGCGCAAAAGTGCGTCGTCTGTCTTTATGACAAGGCCTTCCTTGACACGCATTTGCGCGTCATCTGAGCGTTTTACGACGCGCAATGAGCGTCGTAAAAGGCCTTTTTTCTAGTAGTGGTACGATTTAACAAGTAAATAGTATAAGCATATAAGTCAAAGTTTATTTGTTCCTTTTGTCATAGAAGGGTAAAAGCGATATCTTGGGCCGCATGATGATTTTGTGTTGACTTATGTGTTGGGCCCGGTCAGGACTAAATTTGTCACACCCCGAAAACCAAAGGCAGAAACATTTCGGGGTTGACTCCACGTTGAGTATGAAATCCAATGCACATAGTAAAGCAGTAATCACAAAACATTACATTACATAATATTGTTTACATCTGTTTGCAAGTAAAGTTGTACAAGTGTTTTAATACATATATGATATGAACAAAAGTAAATACGAGTCTTCGGGACGCTCCGTCTTCTCCAAAAGGTTGCGATGTACCTGTCTAACGCTGACCTGAGAATACAAGCAGTTTGAAAATCAACATAAAGTTGGTGAGTTCATAAGCGGTTTAGTTTTGAAAAGAATGAGTTTCCTTTGCTTTCTGAAAAAGTTGTTCAAGAAAATCCCATATTTTCTTATGAAGACAGTTTGGTTATCCTTTGTTACAATTTCGAAAACGGTTGGTTATGTCATTCCAGGAAAATCCCATATTTTCCTTATAGTTTTAGTTATTCGTTTGTTACTTTATCCGTTTATGAGTTGATGTGCTACCCAGGAATATCCCATATTTTCCTATGTGATGAGTTTCCTATTCGTATCTAAGTTCGTTACTGGTTGTTATGTTATCCCAGGAAAATACCATATTTTCGTATGTGATGAGTTTCCTATTCGTATCTAAGTTCGTTACTGGTTGTTATGTTATCCCAGGAAAATCCCATATTTTCCTATGTGTGGTGATTGGTTCTTAGGTCTGATTTCGAGGTACTAATAATTAACATGTAAATAGTATTAGTTAAACCCTTAGTTATTCTACATTCGTATGACTATTATCTACTAACTTAGTTGTATTTTCGAATATTTGGAATCACACAGAAGCGTACATTACAATATTTTTGAAGTTCTGCTTATTCCAAAAGAGTACATTATTTGTATATTCGAAGCTCTGTCGAAATTCTGAGGCGGATATATTCGAAACTCAGTAGAGGTCCAGAGGCGTATTTTTGCATTCGTAGTCGTATTCGTATTCGTAGTCGTATTCGTATTCGTAGTCGTAGTCGTAGTCGTATTCATAGTCGTATTTGTATTCGTATTTGTATTCGTATTAGATTACATTCATATTCGTATTCGTATTAGATTACATTCGTATTCGTATTCATATTAGATTACATTCGTATTCGTATTCGTATTAGATTACATTCGTATTCGTATTCGTATTAGATTACATTCGTATTCGTATTCGTATTAGATTACATTTGTATTCGTATTCATATTAGATTACATTCGTATTCGTATTCGTATTAGATTAGTATGATTTCTTATTTAAAGAGAATATAGTTATAACACTTTTAAAAGAAATCTATATTTAACCTGCAATTCAAAACGTCAGTTATCACAAATATTTGGAAATCAAGACATTTAGTAAGTAAAACCTTTGAGTTGAAAATTAGTATAAGTACAAAATACACTTGTACTTATTTCTTGTATTCCCCCCCCCCCCCCCTAAAAACATTGAAAACACAGAAAAAGGTTAGGGGTATGAACTCACCGGTTGAGAAACGCGACGTTCCGGATGCTAAGTGTCGATTCAAGGTTTGATAACACACGAGGTTCCTATGTAAGACGAAATGGTATACAAATATATCTAATTAAATTTATAAACTCTAATTAGATATGATATTACACTCCAATGAACGAAAACACTTCAAAACAAGTGTTTGGAGTGACCCGGGTGACATCTACGGATGTGTTTTGATGCGAGGGACTTGGGATTTGAGTTTACTCCCTAAGAGTAAACATTTTAGGGAGTTTACAACCATAAAATACACACTTACATGAGTTCACAGCCGTGAACTCATGTTGGTGTGATTTTGAGTGCTTAATGGCTTGTTTGGACTTGGGAAATGTTGGAATGGACTTCTAAAACGTCTTGGAATAATTTAAGGGGACTTATACCATTTAAAAGGGAGTTTACGGCCCTAAACTTGGAGTTTATGGCCGTAAACTCTACTATGGTCAAGAATAATTAATTTGAGGTATAAGGGACAATCACATGTGATTCTAGTAATTTTTCCAAGCCTTGTTATGAATTTAGGGCATCATTGGACATATATTTAGGAGTTTACGGCCTAAGGGTATGAGCTATGGCCGTAAACTCTTATATGTTGCATTTTGATATGTTTAAGACCCCCAAACTATTTTTAGATGGTCCTAGGATTTACCACAAGGCTATTGGTTGAGTTTTAAGGCATTTGGACATGTTAAAATGAGTTTACTCTCCATTTTTGAGGGGTTTACAGCCCAAGCATGAACCTTGGCTGTAAACTCCTATTTACTCCCCAAAAAATATGTTTGTAATGTTCTAAGGCCAATATCACTATTCTAAAATGCATATCTAAGCCTTGTTTGAGTCTAGGAAGGGTTTAAGGGCTTAAAACCCTTTTAATTTAGTGTTTATGGCCTAGGCACCTTCCTGGGCCGTAAACTCATTATAATCCCTCAAAATTCATGTCTAAAGTGCTCTAAGTCTAATCCATGAAGTCATTTAGCCATATCAAAAATCTAGTTGTGGTTTGGAAGGGTTTTGTTGCTCAAAAACCCCCTTTAAATGAGTTTACGGCCTAGGATACTTCTAGGGCCGTAAACACATGATAATAGTCCTAATCCATAGATTAAACTCGAATTTGAAGGCTAAAGAGGTTACAAAACAAGCTAGGGAAGGTACCTTGGATATTAGAAGCCTTAAACTTGAGATTTGGACCCTTAAACTTGGATTTAGGAGAGAGGTTAGAGAGAGAGTAGATAGAGGGAGAAAAAGCTTCAAATGAATGTTTAAACACGTTTAAATAGGTCCCAAAACTTGTACACGGTGGAATTCTACCCGATACCGACGTTAAACGGGGCTTTAGGTCGCACCCGATTAAGTTTCCGTAACTCGAAGGGGATGTTTCTAAAATTTCTAAATTATACAATTTGGGCTAATTTCGTGAGTTCCTAACAGGTTTGGACACTCATTAGCATCAATTAAACATATAAGTTTAATTAATTTAACCCAAAAACGACATCGGAACGAATCGATATACGGCGAGATATACGGGTAGAATGGGGTATCGGCGATGAACAACTTCGGGTTGTTATAGAATTGATGTGTTCAATTAAGTTCTATGTCAAACAAATTAGAAGTCGAGAAACAAACTGTTGGACATTCAGAATGATTATGTTCCATGTCATTTTCCATACAATCTATTGCAGAACGTAGGATTATATGATCCTTTATCTAAAGGACGTGTCATTGGCTAAGTCAGAGTTCGACATCAACTTTTGAGAGCTACGATTTCTAGTCGGATTTTGAAGTCATTCTTTCAGTTATAGTTATTAGACTTATGCAAATGGGAGACTATTGAATTAGGCGTCTAAGCCCAAAACTATACTTGGTATGAAGATGACCCGATAGTAGCATGGTCCTTTTGGGTTGACTTCACCATAGCAATTTGATAGGATGAGTTATAAAGAGAGAGGTAGATTTATTAATATATTATAAGAATAATATATTAATTGAGAAATCATATTATTTAATTAGTATTAATAAAAAAATTAATTTGGAATTAACTGTATGTACAAATCATTGATAGTTGCAAACCGGGTTACTGGATCACCTTGAGGAGGCTTTGATGAAATCTATGGGAATCCAATAGAAAATTTCGTCCAAGGGGGCCTTCCAGAAGGCTTCCATGGGTTGCTTAAGGCTTAAGCAATCAATTTAGGGTTTCCAGCTAAAAACCCTAAGATCCCCAGCTATATAAGGAACCCCTTGGCTCCTTGGAATCGACGTATGCATAAAGAAAGAACCCTAGCCAATTTTAGAGGCTCCCTCACCTCTATCATATTCTTCCAATTACTACTCTGTGTTTGTGACTCATTAGAGGTGCAACAATTGAGGCACTAAGCTCTTGAAGGTTATGATCTACAAACTACAAGAAAATTTTATTCATCTAACTTTGTTTTTGTTATAAATCTCAAAATGGTATGCTAGATTAGGGTTTATGCTTTGGATAACTAAAATTGCATGTATTACTTGAGAAAAAAACTAGACCCAAAGCATCACGGTTGCATGTGCACCATAGGAATATTCTATTGCTCAAAACCCATCAGTTTGAACCATGTTTCAAGTAACCATGCATCTCATGGAGAAATATTATATATGAATCAACACTTTTAGTAGTTACCTTCGTTAGAAGTGATGTATGAACCTTAGATGGAATTTTCATGCCTTTCACACTTGAAAACAACATTGTCCTCGAGAAAATAAATCTTGCTCAACTCTA